GAATGGAAATTGTAGAAAGAACTCAGTGCTGCGAAGCTGTAAAATCTGTCTGGTTTTACCCAGAGACTGTTTTATTTTCAGCTGCGTTCATCCTTCTTTTAGTTACAATCAGCTGAATATGATGCTGCCACCACCGTGCTTCACTAAAATAAAATAAAACTGGGCTGCTTATAAATAGTAAATTTAATCAACTAAATGTGAATGATCCAAAGAAATCCAACCTAGTGGGAAAACTATGGAGTGCTAAATGTAAAATAAAAGTATAAAGTCCTGGTGAAAAAAAATTCCTCTACCATTTCATTGGTATTTAGCTCACTGCTCTTTTATTTAGCCAGTTTTTACATTAAATTTAAATGTAAACATTAAATGGGGTTAAATGTTGTCATCTTCCTGAGACAAAAGCAACCGTTAATGCAACCGTTAATGCTGCTAATTTTGCTAACACAGCTAATGCTGCAGAAGATTCATTTGAAATTTAAATTCAAAACGTGTTCACTGAAAACAATATGGATGGTGGTCCGGCAGCTTGGACATGAACCACAGCTACAAGTCTTGTAGGGAAGCGTTATGCTACGTTCACATCSAACGCGTTTTGAGCTGCAGGAGCGGCCGGTTTACWTGCAAAGTCTACGATGGACGTGCRTCTAGGGRTCTYGCRGMGCRTCAGGTCCRTTTAGCGCGGCGCACAAGGAAGTGGAAGGTAGAGGTAGAGCATTTATGCGTTGCGGYGAAAGYAGCCGACRCTCGAGTTCAAAAATCTGAACTTTTGCTGCTYGACGCGCCGCAGCAACCAATCAGAGAGAATTATTTTTCCWTGWGATRGTTTCCTGAATGTTGYCCACTAAACCGAAACAGACGGACAGGAGCTCTTTAGCTGAAATCGACCGTCTGCAGTTGGTGTTCTGGCTGGAGATATCAGCACCGATGWGGGTCAGCAGCTCGTTAAACTGACCGCRGTGTTAAACTGAGCTYGGGACAAAAAAATAGTTCATCAGCTCACAGCTCCTGAAGTGGCGAAACTAACTGAACAGTCCGCCTCTAAATCATCTGGTGAATTAATTGTCTGTTGTGCGCAACGTTCGCTTGCTCTTTAGTAAATAAAGTAAAGCCATTTTCTTTATTTTATCTTTATTTCATCCGACGAGGACAGTCTGGAAAAAAAACCAAGACGCTCCTCCCTCTTCAGATGCGTGTCTAGTCTCTGTCCTGGTCTGAACACAGCGCGTCCAACTGGAGGCGTTGGGTGCATTTTTGCAGCTCAAAACGCGTTCCTGTGAACGCAGCATTAGTGGCGTTAGCAGTGTTAGCAACATCAGCAGCATTAGCAGTGTTAGACGCTTTAGCAGCGTTAGACGCTTTAGCAGCGTTAGCAGTAGCTTTTGTCTCAAGATGATCACAAGTGATAGTGACAATTTTTAACATTTTATTTCACACTTGTTGTCCAATAAAAAACTGCATTAAAAACAGACACAACCTTTGCAAAAAAAAAAAAAAAAACACTTCTTGAGTTGGAAAAACTAAATGCAAACTGAAGCAAACTAAATGAGTCCTGCAGAATGTAAACTGAGACACAGATTATAGATTATTACTGGGGTTATTCGTTTCACTGGCAGCAGCTTGTGTGGAGGAACGGAGCCGATCTGAAACGTTACACAACAAAACTCGCTGTCTCGGGACATTTGCAGCTCTGAATCATCTGACCTTTGATATGATGAGTTCAGTTCGCCGCTTCTGAAAAGGCAATTTGCATTTGTCATTTATGCCACGCTGCAAGTAAAAAGCCACCAGATAACAAGATCTTAGGACGTGGAAATTAGAGTTTATCTCGTTAGTGTCGGTAATTTAAAAAAACTGATTCTTGCGATGGTGTCAAACAGAACAGAGGCAGTATAATTACATTATTACTGAGCTGATATTTAGAAGCTAAAACAGGAGTTATTAGATTTGCAWTAGGAATTAAACTTGTGATTTATTAATAAGTAAAAAAAAGTCTTTTTGCTTCACTGCATTTCTTTGATTGTAATAAAACCATCTCACCTCATCGTTCCTGCAGGCTGCATCTGACAGGCTGCTTGTTTCACCCAGAAGACTGAGGTCCAGCTCACTTGGACCTGAGAGCAGAAAAATACAAACATTAGAACATTAAACTCAACACAACTCAACATTAAACTCAACTTGACAAAATTTAATTTGTAAATTCAACTTTGG